GGTGAGGGGGAAGGACGGGATAAATTGGGGGTTGGAGATTTGCAGATACTAATATATACATACATAATAGATAAACAACAAGTTCATACTGTAGACCACAGGGAACTAACTATATTCCATATCTTGTAATAACCTATAATGAAAAAAATATGAAAACAAATATATGTATGTATATGTATGACTGAAACATCACGCTGTGTACCAGAAATTGATGCAATACCGTAAACTGACTACACTTCAATTTTTTTTTTAAATGTACTAAAAAATAACAAAGACTGTTTGACTAACTTCTACATGTCTCCTCCCTCTCCCTGCTTCCCCAGCCCGTCCACACACACACACACACACACACACACGTTCATGCAGAGCAGCACTCCTATTTCTTATTTAATTGAGGAAAGTCACTGGCTGAGTGATCAGTGTACTTGAACAAGGTCCTGCTCTGGCTCCAGTCATGGCAGCCGTGTCCTTGGACCAGCCCCTCCCCGCCTCTGGCTCTAACCTTCCCACCTACAGAAGGACTGAGCGCGCTCTTAGACTTCTATCACCACGTGATTTAACATCCTTCAATGCGTGCGTACGATGAACAGAGAACCGATTGAACACAGAGTAGGTTAAGCATTTTAGAAGGAACGACTCACAGCAACACTGGGCACGTGGGCCACTGTTACCTGGTATGAACAGCCAATCAGTTCATGGTGGAAGCCTAGCATTCGAGTCAAAAGGCCCAATGGGGCTCTGATCTGACCAGAAGTGCTTGGATCTTCCTACCCAATTATCTATACTGTGTGTCTGTCTCTAGTAGAGATAATCCTACGGGTGAAAAAAGAAAAACAAGATTTCCTGAAGCAACTTCCACTCTTCTAGCTGTAAATTTTACACCAGATCTGGAGGCTGGAGGCTCCATGGTTGAAAACAAACAAAATTCCTTCTCTCATGAATTCGCTCCCTTTAAGCAAGACCTGTGTATAGATGATACTAAATACATGAGTTCCCACCTAGGAACGATCACGCTGCACGTGCAGCCGTGAGTCTGAGCTTGATGTCTTCCCGCTGAATGAGCAGGTCTGGGCGGTGGTGGAACAGGCCCACCCAGACCCGGGAGCCTGGAAAGAACAACTCATCTCAAAGGAACAGAGTTCCAGGCGGAATCTGGCCCGGTAACAATGCCTCACCAGACAGGGCATAACTTTTTGTCTGTTGATAGAAACTTCTGCGGCCCCACCCACAGTAGAACTGAGTTTCAAATGATTTCTGAGCGGGGAGGGTAGAGCTCAAGTGGCAGAGCACATGCTCAGCACGCACAGGGTCCCGGGTTCCATCCCCAGCACCTCCTCTAAAAATAAATAAATAAACCTAACCCCCTCCCCCCAAAAGAAAACCTTAAAAAAATGTATTTGTGAGCACTAAGATTGACACAGGGAATATCAATGCAAACTAGTATTCTTTTTTAACTAGATAAATATTTTGGTCCAAGAGTGGCAATGAGTTAATTAAAGAGAAGAATTTCACGAAGCAACAGAGTCTGGGGAGTGCTAAAGCCAGGAGCCCAAATTGATCAAGACTAATGGAAGGGTCTGAATATTAATCTTTTCAAAGTGTCAGGTGTTATTTAATTCTGGAACTCTTAATGATGGAGGGTCCCACCAACATGAGGAGGTTCGTACCAAAGAAGATAACACAAAAGAGGCAAGAGAAGAAGTGATTTTGAGGAAGACTCAGCATCCAAGTGAGTTACACGTGGGCAGCGTGTAGGCTGGTTCCATCTCTCCGGAGGACGGTGGCAGCATGGGACTGGTTTCCAGTGCTGCTTCCCCGTGAGCCAGTCATCCGTAGCTAGAACACGGCGTAAGGAAATCAGCATGCAAGCCGCAAGGGTGTGGCTGCACGTCAGTCTCACAGACTTGCTTATGGAAAAAAAAAAAAAACCTAAAACTCAGCCCAAACGTCAAACAATAGGATGAAAGCCTTTCAGCAATCACAAACAACAGTGGCTTCCTAAATAACTTACAGCTCAGCCACTCAATTAAAAACGGTTTGTGGGAAGAAAAGGAAGACGTCTACTTCCAGACAAGATGGAGTAAGACCAGACTTACAACTGGGAAAAACAGACAAAATACACGAACCAGTGGCTTTCAGACACTGGGTAACAGGCAGCACAGGGCAGTCACCCCAGAGAGACGGGAAGCAAAGGGACGCCTGCAGTGACCTACAGCCCCGCCCTGAGAAAGTCCCAGACCCTGGCACAGCGAGGGGGGACCAGTGGGAGCCCCGTGGTCTCTCTGAGCTGAGGGGACGGAGCTGGAGTTCAGGGAGCCCCAGGCAGCTCAAGTTCACAGGGCTGAGCAGCAAAGAGGGGAGAGAGCCGGACGATGAAACAATTCCACAGACTCCTGCCTCCCTCTTATAAGGACACTAGCAAGTCCACTGGGCCCACTGGGACACCCATAGCTTAATGGATGGAGGAGCCGACAAGTCTGAAGCTCGGTCCTGGAGCAACTCCCCACAGAGAGCCGGGCAGCACAGGGCCGCAGTCTTGGCTCCTGGGGGTGGGGGGCAGTGAGCAGTCATAGAGGGAACTGATGTCTGGTTGCCTCATTTTGATACAGGAAAACGGATGTGGGGTGGGAGGAGGGCCGAGTCCCAGGTCTTGCTTGAGCCTCTAGGACGTGCCCCACTATGTGTGGGTCCTTGACTTCACACAGGAAAGAATTCAAGTGCGAGCCACCGTCGGGTTAAGGTAGATTTATTTAGAGAGATACATACTGCATAGAGTGTAAGGCAAGAGAAAGGCAAGGAAAGAGGTGTGGGAGTTGGGTGCTCAGGTTAAGGTAAAAGTGGGTACACACTCCACAGACAGAGTGTGGGCCCTCTCCGAAGGGGAGGGAGTGAAAAGGGCGGCCACGAGCCGCCATGTTGCTGGTTTTTATGGGCTTGGTGGCTTCATATGCTAATAAGGACCAGTCTAAGTAGCCTGGGGAAGGGGCTGGGATTCCCAGGAAGCTGGCCATGTCCCACCCTGTGACCTTTTGCGGCCAGCCTCGGCCAGCCTCGGGGCTGCCATGGTGCCTGTGGGCGTGTCATTCACCATGTTACTATCACAGTGGGCGTATAATGAAGCTCAAGGTCTGCTAGGAGTTAAATCTCTTCATCTCAAGGCCTGCTAGCGGTTGAATCCTTCACTACTTTGATGTTAACTGCTGTGGCATTCCTTGCATGGCTGTGCCCTGCCCCCTTGCATGCTGTCTCAATTTGTTACCAGGGAAAGCAGCAGAGGGGCACGCCCCTCACCCCCTCCTCTGATTAGAACAGGCACTAGCTGGCGTCTGGGGTGAGCTGTAGGAAGGTGTGAGGTGAGGAGGTGTAGGTGGGGCAGGCCCTGGTCGAGCCGGGGACGCACAGAGAGCAGAACAGCTACCGTGACTGGCCTGACCGTGCAGACACACAGTTTGGAGCGCTCCACCTTCTGTGGCAAAGAAGACGCATGCGCTGTGTCTGTCACACTCAGTGCCTCCTGCCCTCTAAAGGCCTGCTGTTTGCTGTGTAACACCGGCTTTGGCCCATCAAAGGAAGAAGGTAAAATACGTTCTGAAGATAGAGCACCTCTCCCTGCTTGCCATATGTCCCCATCTCCCCACGTTCCTAAGTTCCCCACTCCCGACCACTGCAGCCCACAACAGTGGCTCCCAAACCTAGCTCTCCCGAGTCTGCCAGCACGAGTAGATCCTTGCTATTTCCTGATCCAAACAACCAGGCGCTTTGCACAATGAACAAGCATTTACCGTCTCACAAGGCACCTGGCCCTGGGGCCACCGCAGTGCTTCAAAAGAAGCCTGGTTGTGCGGGGATGTTTGTTATCTCAGAGCCCCTGGGAAAGGTACAAATAGAGGTCAAGCCAGCTCAGTCTGCCAAGCCAGGCTCTCAGGGGCTGCATGTGCCCAGCGGGGCTGCCCTTTCCAGGGCTGTTACGGAAACGACAGGCCAGCCAAGAAACAAGCACCACTCGGAGGGTTGGAGTACTCAGCTGTATCACGCCAGCGGGCTCAGAGGGGCTTCCGCTCCGAAGCTCTGAGCACCTCCAAGACGTGCACATGAGGTTTTATAGGGTAAAGTACAAGCTTGGGGTATTCGGCCAATAGGCATGGAACAGCTTTAGCAGCATCATTATCACAAAAGTGGAGGCAGGGAGGCAGCAAACCAACATTCCAAAGCCAGATCTCTCTCTTTGAAAATCCAGCTGGCTAGCAAAAAAACATGAACAGCAAACCTGTGACGGAAAAGCCTGGCTGGGCTAACAAGCGAAGTCACAAATCTAAATGTGATAAGTGTCGGTTTACTGATACAAGTTCTGCCGGGCTAACTCGTAAATCTGAAGTTTAGTGTCAGTTTACTGTGCTAACAAGCTAACTCGTGAATCCAAGCTCAACAAGTGTCAGTAACGTGATCTGTTCCGAATTGATAAGCTCCAGTGTACTGATTCCTTGCTTTTTGTTGTTTGAGCCTTATTGGCTAATAGCCCCATACTTGTAATTAACCCTATAAAACCTCATGTGCACGTCTTGGAGGTGCTCAGAGCTTCGGAGCAGAAGCCCCTCTGAGCCCGCCGGCGAGATACAGCTGAGTACTCCAACCCTCCGAGTGGTGCTTGTTTCTTGGCTGGCCTGTCATTTCCGTAACAAACCAACACTAATTAACTTAGATTCACGAGTTAGTCCAGCAGAACTCAGATCAGTATTCTGATACTTAGATTTGTAAGTTATATTGCTAGCCCAGCCCAGCCTCTCCTTCACATTCCTAGACTTGTGAGTTACCTTGTTAGACCAGCGTGGCTTTTCCTTCACAGGGTAAATACATGTGCGAGGATCAGTGATCACCTCAAGCCTCTTCCTGAAGAAAGAAATGGGAAAAAAAAAGATTCCCCTACTCTCCTAAGACCTGCAGAAGAAGGTGGTCTCTCCTTTCAAATTGATTCTTTTTATTGAAAAGAAATGGAAATTTCAGGATAGCAGAGGGTGTTTCTGGTCCCTTCATTCCCAAACGAAGGCAGACAGTGGCCACGCTGCTTCCGGCCTGTGGCCTGAGGGGCTGTGCTCTGCCAGCGGTCTGGATGGCACTCCTGTGTGTAACTGAGAGTTGATAATCAAGGCAGCAGCATGTCTTCCGGCTGAATGTCTTCACTCTGGTGGGACGCCCTCCAGAGCAGGAAGGTGCTTATGGCCTTCTAACGTGCTCTGGGGCAAAAGTTACGGGCCCGCGGTAACAGCTACCAGTTGGTTCAATGAAGGGCACTTACTTTCTAGTCTTATACTTTTCTAGGAGAAAATGGAAAGCCAATACGGTACAACTACTATACTTCAATTCTTAAAAAAGTTAAAAAAGGAAAGGGAAAGCTAGCTCATATAATTTGTGAACCAAGGGAGATTCTGTTTCCTGAGAAAATTTGCAGAAATAACCTATTCTTCTTCTTTATTACAACATACAGCTTATCTTCTGAGAGATTCACAAGTATTTGGTGAATCTTGGTTAAAAATGATCAACAACTGGCAAGGGAGGGTACAGCTCAGTGGTTCAATCCCCAGTACCTCCATTAAAAAATAAATAAATAAATATACCTAATTACCTTCGCCCCACCCCCCAAAAAATCAGCAACTGGGCATGTGCCCAGAAGAACTGACAGTAGCGCACACTTATATTCAAACACTATTCACGTAGCCAAAAAAGGTGGAAGCAACCCAAACGTCCATCAACAGATGAATGGTTAAACAAATGCTGTGTATACATACAATGGACTATTGTTCAGCCTTGAAAAGGAAGGAAATTCTGACACCGCTACAATATGGACAAACCTGAAGACATCGCGGTAAGAGAGAGAACCCTGAGACAGGAGCGAAGGGGAAGGGGCAGCACCACTGAAGGGATGACGCAGCAACTGAAGACAGGACGTACACTGGTTAGAACCCAGACGGTGGAAGATCTGACTTCCAGTGGACCTTGAGCCTCATGGCACACCCACAGGCGCATGACAGTTTCCAGGCTGATCCTGAAAGGCCAGAAAGCAGGCGGGGCCCGATTCCAGGAAATCTCTGCCCACGTACAGTTGGAATAATCCTCCCACTCATTAGCACGTGAAATTCCTGAGCCCATCAAAACCAACAAGCCCCAGACTGGCGGCCAGTCTCTCTTTCCTCGAGGACTGCATGTTCCAGGGCCACCTTGTGCCTCTCGTTCTTGCCTTTTGAGACAGCCTGGACTCTGTCCATAGAGAGATAAATCTACCTTCACTCAGCTATGGCTCGCTCTTGAATTCTTTTCTGTGTGACGCCAAGGACCCCCACTCGACAGGCTGCATCCCAGGGACCGCCTGGGGCTAGGGCCAAGGCCACGCTCTCATGCTCCATTTTCCTGCAGCAATCCAATTGCAGAAGACAGATATGCTATGATTCCACTCAAATGAGGTGCCTAGAGCAGTCAAATTCACAGAGACAGAGAGCAGAACAGTGGCTGCCAGGGGCCGGGGGGCAAAGAGTGGGCAGTTACTGCTTAGTGGGCACAGAGTTTCCCTCTTGTTAGATGAAAAGAATTTTGGTGACTGGATACACAATGATGTGACTGAACTTGAAAACCACTGAATCTTGCACTAAAAATGGTTAACAAGGTAAATTTTATGTCATGTGTATATTATCATAATTTGAAAAATCAATGATAATTACAATTCATTAATTTCATCTGATCCTTTAATAAGAATCTCCACGTATTAATGTCAGATGGTCTTAGACTCTTAAATACATTTTCCTGTGAATTTTCCATCATACCTCTCTAATCTTTAATCTTTTTCCATTTAGGTTTTTTTTTTTTTTGGTTGGGGTGGGTAATTAGGTTGATTTATTTTTAGAGGAAGTACTGCGGGTTGAACCCAGGGCCTCATGCATGCTAAACATGCGCTCTACCACTTAAGCTATACCTTCCCCCCAGTCCTTTTCTATTTATATCAAATTCATTTATCCAAATTCAATTTAACGTGGATTAGATTCACTTGGATTAAAATAATAAGGTGTCTGACTTTGGGCACAATATTTGTAGTTTCTGACTTCAGAAAAAAGTATGGCTTACCAGAAACTCTGTGGGTACGTGTTCACCATTATCCATGTTCCTGGCTCTCTGACCACCAGCAGAGGAATCAGTGAGAGAACGCCGTGGTTGAGAGTTGGCGCTTCCAGCTCGATCAGCCACTTAAGAGCCGGGGGACTCGGGCAAGCTTTCAGGCCCTCTGTGCTTCAATTTCTTGATCTGTGAAATAACAGAAACAGTTGTACCTACCTCTGTGGCAATTCTGGATAAAATATGTGGCACATTGTGGCTTACTGACACTGCTGAAATGAAGTAACTGAACTCAAGAGTTACTGAACTCCTACTGATGCTGTTTTAGCAAACATGGGTCCTGAGACCCTCCCTCCCTGGTGGCTTCCTGGACCGGTTCTGCTGGAGTCTCACCCTCTCTTCTCTGTCTCAGCACAAAGAGTGGACACCTGCCATTCCACAGCTTCTCCCCAACAAGGTGGTCACTCGGTGGGTGCCCACGGCTCTGCCCAGAAGCTTCAACCACACTACAACAGCATCCTCTGCTATGCCAGACACATAATAAATGATCAAAAAATGTCTGCCGAAGGAAGGAATGACTCACTTGACCAACCAACCAATCAGTCAATTTTCCGGCCTTGCTAAATGCTGCCAGTATCTTAATGAAGCAGGTGACCGTGGTAGATGAATGGCAGGCCATTTCTTGCACATCAGTCATGTTAATAAATGCTTTGTCTCAGCTTCCTGTGATTGACAACACTCTAATGTGTTAATTCCAACTGGCCTGGGTATCCATGGAGTCTCTGCAAAGTACAGAATTATACTTATGAGAGCTGCCTGCAACTATAATTGGGCTGAAGATATAGGGCGACATGGAACGTGTACTACATCTCTTCCCTGAAATTCCACAAGTGCTTACAATGAAGAGAGTTATTCGAGATAATAATCACAGGATAATAAAGTAGCACACTGGTTGGGCTGGACGTGTGACTTTTCTGTCAACGAGCCCACTCCCTTCACTTTAATTCGAATTGTCCAGCAAGATCAAAGACACTGTTGAAGGAGGCAGTCTAAAATGAATCATTGGTCCTAACTAATCAACAAAGATCTAATAGCCTAGCTGAGAAGCCAAGACATACCTCAGACATGGCATTGTCAAGTACAGGACTGCCCGACGCAGGACTGGGCAGTGAGGGTGGGGGAGTCCAGCAGAGTGCATCAGGACCAGAGAAAATCCAAGAGGTCCAACGCAGACCAAACACATGAGGCAGTGTCAAATAAAACCAACAGAAATCAATGATTTGAAGCAACCGTTGTAACCTTCCTCTATGAAGTAAATGTGAGTGCTTCTGAAATGAAAATAAATTGTCAGCAGAGGAGGAGAAACCATAAGGAAGAGCCAAATGAACATTTCAGAACTGAAAAACAGAATGTCTGGGGTGGGGGGAGTATCGGGGCGGCTCAGCAGCGGAGCAGAGATGACAGAGAAAAGTGCCCGTGAACTCGAAGACGGATAGGCAGGGATTATTCAGCCTGAAGAACAGACGGAAAAAGGACTGAAGCACACAGTCACGAGGACCTGTGGGGCAAAACCCCCATCACTGGATCCCTGAAGAAGACAAAGACACTGTGACTGTCAAAACATTTGAAGAAATAATGACTAAAAACCCCTCAAATTTGGTAAAAGACATAAATTTATAGATTCAAGAAGTTCAGTGAGCCCCAAACAAGAGAAACTCAAAAAAAAAAAAAAACTAGAACAAACCCACGTTACACAAAAGACAATGAAAACCAAAAACTAAGAAAGACTCTTGAAAGCAACCATAGCAAAATGATGCGCTCCACCCGCGTAGGGGACCAGTAATCCACACATCACAGACGCTCTGGGAAACAAAGGGTTCCTCCTCAGAAACCATGACAGCGCTGGAGCAAAACCTTCCAAGTGCCGAAAGAAGCCCCAACTCAGAATTCTACACCCAGGGAAAACACCCTTCAGTGGTTACGGTAAAGCATGGGTATTCACAGAAGGAAAGTGAAAGAATTCACCGCCAGCACGTTTGCTCTCAGAGACATTACTGAAGGAAGTCAAGGCTGGAGGGGAATGTTCTCAGAGGGGAACACGGAACTTCAGGAATAAAGAAAAAAAGGTAGAAATGATCGATGTCTGGTTAAGTGACAGAACTTACCCAGGACCTCGTACGTGCGAAGCACACGCTCTACCCCTGAGCTATACCCTCCCCCAAGATAGAACTTTTAACTTCTTTCTTGTACACAGAGGACAGTCTGGGTCACCTTTGCCAGTGGACAAGGATGCCCTCTGTTCTCTCAGCCATGGGTGCCATTCTCTGACCTCCTCCAAAGCCTTGAAATCAATGTAAATTATATAACATTGTGCTGAATACACAGCTTACGATTTTACGATTTTTTTGTGGCTCTTCTCAGCTGCCTTTTCTTTCTTTCTTTTTTTTTTTGCAGGGGAGGTAATTAGGTATTTATCTATTTAGGTATTTATTTATAACAGAGGTACTGGGGACTGAACCCAGGATCCTGTGCATGGTAGGCACGTGCTCTACCACTGAGCTACACCCTCCCTACTTGGCCTGACTTTTTATAGTAGCCACTGCCCTTGTTCTTTTCTATGCATGTGGACAGGTTGTGAGTGAAGCACTGGTATAAAGAAGAGAAACTGGGATGACTGGAAAAACTGTCATTTCACGCACAACAGTATCTATCAGTTCCCATCATTCTCAGAGGCGGTGCCTAGGGGAGATTCCTTTGCCAGCTGAGAAGCAGTGAAGGAGAACTAATAAAGTGGCCAGGCTTAGGCTAACCATTCTTGGCCTTGCACTTACTATCTGCTTTCAGATGGTCAGCAAGTCTGACTGCCGGGACACTGCTCCCAGCCCCAGGCCCAGCGAGGCCCCTGTTTACCTTACTCTGGTAACTGAAATCTACAGTCATGTTTGGATTTTGAGTCACTCCCCCAGGAAGGGAGCCACAGGATGATAATCTCAGGAGAATGGCCAGAACGCTCTGAAGTTCCTCCTGGCACCTGAGGAGTCTGATCAGATAGAGATCAGCCTCATGACACGGGACAGACATGCCAAGATTTCAGAGGAAGATTTACCAGAGACTTTTGTTAATTAGCATCATCACTAAGCCCCAGCCAAGGCGGGTTCCCAGTTTGGAAGGCACCGGCTGTGAGTCCCCTTTGCCCAGGAAAGTGATAAAGCTGCCTCTTAAGCTCCAAGACGTGGTCTCTGAGTTATTTGGCTCGTCAGGGCGGGAGTTGATCTTTCAGCAACAGTAATCCGCAAGCACGTGGTTGCCCTGATGTTTGTGCAACACTCAAAACGTGGTTCCAACAGTCTTGGACGAGTGAAGATGTCACACGGGCACAGGGAACTGAGGCTAAGGTGACACGGTGAAGCCAATGTTCACTTCTGAAATGTCTTTCTTCTCTAAATTACAATTGGGAATAAGGAAAAACACCCAAAGGCATTTGATTCCAGAGCATTATTACTAATACCTCTGACATGAATATATAAGACTGTGTTGGAGAATAACACAAAGCCTAACTAGGAAAAAAAAAAAAGGATGAATTTGGGAAAGAAAGCACAGCAGAAGCAGAGGTTTAACTGATCTCAAGAAATGTCGCAGGGAACAGTTACGATCCAGCACACGGAACATGGACAAATAATCTTCAATGATCAATAAAAAAAGACAGTGTATTCTCCCCACGGAAGTTTACAGAGTTAAATAAAAGTATGGTCTCCTTGGTACCACTTTTTCCAGTTTGCTTTACTGCAGGAACCTAGCAGCAGAGAAATCCTTTCTCCCTGAGTACCACTCATGGCAAACAAAGTATTTCAAAGCACAGAAACACTGATGTTGATTCCTCTGACAACTTAATAAACAGGTAGCAATGTGCTCACAACATATTGTCAAATGTGGAAAACTACAGCCTAGATAGAAACTGTCAGCACACACACACAGAGCATTCTGTGTCAAGCTGTGTGTCAGGAGAAGGCACACGGGGCTTCCTGGAAGGGGAGACGTCCCCCAAGGCGTGCCCTTGGGCGGTAAAGCGGCAAATTACTAACCAGACACATAACCTAGTGACAGGTACTCTGAGACAAAGAGAAGCCTGGGGAAATCGCAGGAGCTCAGTAGAGGACAGACCCAGCCAAGGGTCAGAGGGGACTTCCTAGGTGACACGGGGCCTGGACCGACAGAGCGTGAAAACACAGAGCTTCGGAGAGCCTGGGCGGCCCGAGCTCACCTGGCACAGAGGGCTCACGCGCGGGGCAAGCGAAGCACACACTGGCAGTCAGGGCCAAGTCGTGGGGACCTTACAGGTCAGGCTAAAAAGTCTGGATTTGTTCAAAAGACAGAGGTCCCCCTATAAGATTTTTAACCCTAGAGGAAGACGAGGGGAGAATTCTGAGGACCGTGTCAGGTTTACAGTGTAGGGCAAGCAGTCAGGAGGCAGGACCAGAACGGACTGCAGATGGGGGCCGAGATCAGCAAAACTGGAAAGTGGCTGTTCCAGTACCCCGAGTGACGGCAACCCAAGCACAGCAAACCAAACATGATATGCACGTGTGTAAGACAGTGGTAGACGGAAAAGGGGGAGAAAGATGACAAAAATATTTACGAGACAGGACCACCGTGACTTGGCAACCAGCGGAAGTGACACATCAGTGAGACTGAGGGGTTTCGGGCACTTCCCAGCTCCGAGCTTCCATTCTTAACTGAACGATGGTGTCAGAGTGGTTCCTCGTGTGAACGCGGCAGACTTTTCACATGTCCTAACAATAGCATCTGATGGTTTCCATGTTGGAAATTAAAATCATCACTGTGACTGACGGAGAGTCATCAGTGAGATTCCACTCTGTGATCTTAACAAATAAACATTCAGCCCCAACACTGAAAACAACTGTGAAGTGGACATAACTGGCCCCTAAGATTCATCTCAGCACGGGACAGCTCCCCCTGGGCACCTGTGACCACAAGGGGGTGCGTGGGATTCTCTGCACGCACAACAGGATCAACTCCCCTCTGAGGCAGACCCTTCTCCTGCAATAAATACTCTAACTTAGGATCTAACCCGCCAGGGCATTCCCCCACCCCCCACCCCGCTAAAGCCTTCAGAAACACGGGGAGAACCTGATCATATAATAGGGTGGCAGTTAGAGCTTCAGATGAGGTCTTGGCTGGGCTTCTGCATTCCTTAATCCTACCTAGAAGCATTACACTTCGGGGCACATATGACCGCGCTAAAAACCGAAGAACCAGACACATGGGTTTTATCTTCAGTAGACCTCCACTGCCCTCTACACAGAGTACAACCTCCTCGGCATCCATACAACGATTGTCACGATCATGTGGTGCATTACACAACTGTGGTCTCCAAACCCAAGGCCACAGTAACCACGTTCCACTGGCATGACCTGGATCCTGATAACAAAGGACCAAAGGTGGATCCAAGATGAACTCTGCCAGGAATGTCTGTCTTCTCAACCATCTCCCTCACTCAAACACTGGCAGAGAATGGGCCTGCTGTACATGACAGCTAGTAGAAATTCAACTGATTTGTCCAATAGGAAAAAAAATTCCCCAGAGGCTGTCTTACTGAAGGACGGCAGCTAGTTTTATACCTAACCCTGCAATCTAGTCCTGCATTCTTTTTTACACTCGCTGTATAAATCAGTCTGTCAAATTCTTTTTTTCTGCCATCATGCTGTTTCCCTAATTAATGAGTTAAATAAATCTTGACACACGCTCCTTCTACATTTTTTAATGGATACTTTCACCAAAATAGCAAATTTCCCATATCGCGTTTTTCTGTGTGAAATACAGTAGGTGTAAGCCCGAGAAGAAAGAGTTCACTTATGAAGTTTCACAATCCAAATATCCTTACCAGTCAGACATTTTTTTAAATTAATATTCCTATGAGCAGTGTTTCATCATCTGGAACCCAGTGAACCTTCCAGTAGCTGCAAGTTTTGCTAAGCGTTTCCATTACCTCCCAGAGTTACTTAGGTCAGTCTGAGAGTGGGTCCCCGTATTTTGAGTCTCAATTCAGCCTACCAACCATCAGCTTGTAATATCTGAAGAAAGGTTCATAGAATGAGTCCAAATGGTTCTACCAGGACTTCGATCTTGCCCCTACCAACACTATTACTCAGACCTGCCTGAGGGAGCGCAAATAACAATGAGCCATCAGCACAGAATCATGAAACTGCTTGGGACTCTGAGCACTTACCAAGTCTTTGGGTAAGTTTTGGACCTCACATTACACATCAGCAAAACAGGGCAACACCATTTTCCCTGCAGGGTTGCTGAGAGAATTACATTTAGGCTGGCTCCCTACAGGCGTCAGCTTCCTTGATGTAAAATCGGAGTGGCCCCGGGCACCCGGTTCGAAGCAGTTAAGGTTTCCCCTCCTGGACCTGGGCGAGGTGACGGCCAAAGGCCCCTCCAACCCTCAGGGTGTCTTCCTCCGCAAAACAGTGTGTTGAATGCTTTGGCAGAACTCAGCTTTTTCCGATTATCTACCCGGAAAAGACGGGTTTACACTGTTCGACAAAGCACTTCCGATGCCCGGCGCTGTACCAGGTCTGAGGCCCGCTCACCTTGCGGGGTGGACACGCGCTTTTCACTCGCCCTCAGCTGTCTCCCCGCCTCCTGCCTCCAGTGCGGGCCGTCCACTCGGGCTCCCCGCCAGCCCGCCGGCCCTGGGGAGAGCAGCGCGTCTCCGGCAGCCCGGCCTTCGCAGAGCTCGCGTCTCCCTCACAAAGTCGCTCCTCCCAGGGCGCCGCGAGGCGCTGGGATACCCGAGGGACGGGCGAGCACCTCCCGCCCCGTCCGGCCCCCGCCGCGCCTGCGGGTTCCCGCAGCTTCCAGCGGCTTCCAGAGCCTGGGCGCCGGCCTCGTCCCGCCCCCGCGCCCCTCTCCAACCTATCACGCTCTGCCCACCCCGGCGTCACCCACGGCGTCACCCCCGGCGTGCTGGCCCCGCCCCGCCCCTCTCCAACCTATCACGTCCTGCGCCCCCCC